ATATTTATCTTATATTATTAAAGAAAAGTAGTTGAGAATGATATTAAATAAAGTTACGAGTTAGTGAAAAGCCACATAAAACGTAATAAGACTATATGTTCGATTGAAAAATAGGAAAATTGTGTTAACTTATTTGAAATTAACTATCAGAAATGAAAAGAAAAGACTATTTGAATTTGAGATTAGAAAGTTCTTAAAACTATGCTGTAAATGCACAAATTATGAATAATACCACGAAATTGAAGTCTTATTTATGAAAAATATAACAATAATAAAATTTTAAATTATAAAATAAATTTCTAATATAGGTAATTTTATAAAAATTAATTTTGTATCATAAAACTAAAAAAGAAAAAAACTTATGTAAAGAAGTAAAATGACAGTGAAAATATTACTACAATATTTAGATATAATATGTTCAAACAATTAAGAAAATATTTTTCTGTGATTAATATCTGAATCGAGTGCAGTTAGTTTGAGTTTGAATGCATAGCATAATTATTTGAAAATGTGGTCAAGTTTAGAAAATAAAATGATAAGAATTATTTGAGTTTGAGATGAGATATTTTTAAAANTTTTTTAAAAATATTACGTAAAGGATTAAAATGATAGTAAAAATATTATTACAATATTTAGAAATAATGTGATCAAAAAATTAAGATTTGTTTTCTATGAAAAAATAAATTATTAAAAATACAAAATAAATTTCTAATATTGGTAACCTTAGTAATGAAAATTAAAAATTAAATTTTATCTTATAGATAAAAAAAGAACAAAAATTTAACTGCATCTAATACAAAATTAATTATAAGAGAACTCAATACATTTGGAATATGATAATCAAATAACTTATGTATTAATATTTTAGACTAATTAAAAGTTACAATTTAAAACAAAACATGACATTATTTTGGTTATAGGTAAAATATTAATATAAAACTAATTGACATTTATAGTAGGGAAGAGAATGTACATTAAAAAGAAAATATAGGTAGTGTGAGGATACTTATACTTTAAATTAATTTTAATGTAGATAAAATAAATTAATTAAATTATATTTAAAAATATTACTGACAAATTTAAATGATGAAAATATTATGAATAAGAGGATAAAAGCATAAAAATATATCAAATTTCGAGAATAAAATATTTATTTTTATCACATACTATTAAAAGGATAATAAGCAAGACATTAATTTAATCATAAGCTAACAAAACATTATATGATAGTATGATAATATGAAATATTAAATAATATAATAACTATAAGAAAAAGAACAAAAAAAAAAAGAATTTACGTAAAAATGATGTGATGAATAAGACATATTTGACTTCCTGATAAAAATAAAGTGATTGTAACAATTTTGTTAAAATAATATGATCTAATGTGCTCGAACAAAATAGATCACAATATGACATGTTTAGTATTCTTTAATATCGACAACGGAACGAAATCCAAGTACTAAAATCAAGGGGTTAGGTTGCTACAAATATATATTAAAAAGATTGGTTGTCTACTACGAGATTTGATCAATGATTTCATATCCTGCTTCATAATTAAATTCTCATGTTATATAATTTTTATATGAGAGATATATATTTTAAGGTTATTTGTACATGATTCAAACAACATACATCGCAATTTGAAATAATTTGTCCGTGCATCGCACGGGGTACTAATACTAGTGTTTATATATGAGCATGACTTCACACGTACATACGTTGCTGTATGGGGAAATCATTTGAGATTAATCAAAATAAAGTCCAAAACCAGATACCCATAATTTAGTATGTACATTATACTTTTATATGTTTCACCTACGGATTCTTGCAATAAAGCTTGAAACCTTGGATTTTGTTCTGTCAGTGTTCTTTTCCAAAAACTAGAACCTTTAGCTGCTTTCATGAGAAAGACCCCAACCCCATTGACATAAATTTCTATCTCAAATTCAAAGACACCACATGCCCAACCTTCAACTATGTCCACCAATAACGATTGTGTGGTGAAATGATAAATACCCATTCGTCCTTAATCAAAGGGTTCGAATTTGTATTATAGATAGTCGCTTTTATTAGAGAACACTTTATTCTTCAATGTAAAATTTTTCGGTGCGAATTCAGATTTTAGAGGGCACCACTAATACTAGTACAAGACACTCGGGAAGAAACAAAAAAAGCCTTCAATTATGTCCAGGGGCGGAGGCGCAAGTCGAAATATGGGTTCGATCGAACCCTGTAGCTTTTGCTCAAATAGTGTATTTGGTGTATAGAATTCATTAAATATGTACAAATATTAAATTTAAAACCCAGTCACTAACATTTAAAATCGTCATTCTAAAATCCAGAATCCATAAGGTTGAAATCATGGCTCTGCCTCTGACAGTCTGACTATGTCCATTTACTATAATTGCCACACAACAAGCCTATCATAAGATATTTTAGTTACAAACAAGTAACCTCCCCCTCTTCTCACCATTGGAAAGACCTATTCTTCTCATATCCTTATCTTTTTTTTACTTATTTCTTTTTGTCCCTTCAAACAAAGAGTTGAAGAAGAGAAGTTTGAGAAACACCCCATCTTAGATCTTCCTAGCAATTTTGTTACCCTGTAACACATATCCTCCATATGGACAGCCAATTACACCAAAACATGAACCACAAAGAAGAGAAACAGAGAAATCAAGAAAGTGATCCTCACAATGGCAGTAGCAGTAGTGCAACCTCACCACCACCTTCATCTTCATCATCTCCTTCACATGAATTCTCATTCACTATTTCCTTTCAACAAACGCCAAAATCACCTGCAGATAATAAAACAAATAAACAAATCCCTCCTTCTTCTTCATTCGCCATAGATTTATCACCAGCTGATGATATTTTCTTCCATGGCCACTTACTTCCTCTTCACCTTCTTTCCCATCTCCCCATTTCCCCTCGCACTTCCACCAATTCAATGGATAGTTTTACTCTTCCAATAAGAGATCATTTTTTTGAAGATCAAAAAGTCCAAAATTCCAAGAATCAAAGAGTATTAGATCATAAGGACACTTGTGATACTACTTATACATCTAAGGGAAAACCAAAGGCAAAGTCTTTTTCCTTGTTTGGTTTACCAAAAGGAAGAAAAGGACATGAAGGTAAAGAAGAAAAGGAAAACAAAGAGAGATCACATGAAAGGAGGAAGCTGAAATTTGATATGATGAGTCAAGTTGTGAAGAGGTACATAAGAATGGTTAGGCCTCTTTTATCTTTCAGCAACAGAAAGAATGTGCAATTTCATAGGCAAGCTTATTCTTTTTCTGGGAATTTATCAAGTTTAAGAGGAAAGAATAAAGAGATTAATGGAAGGAAAGAGCAATTATATTCAGCACCAGCTTCAATGAGAACATCTCCTACAAATAGTGGGCTTCTTGTAGCTACACCTACAGGAGCTTATAATTCTCCTAATTCTTCTTCTTCTTCTACTTCTTCAAGTGATAGTACTATGGAAGAGTTGCAGGCTGCTATACAAGCTGCAATTGCTCATTGTAAGAAATCTATTTCAATGGAAGACAAAGTCAAATCCCATAATGACTAGGTTTGGAGAAGCTTTAATTTTCTTCTGTTTTTTTTATCCTTTTATAGTACAGCTGGTACCAATGTTTTTTTTCAAATTAATTTTCTTGTGTATCATAATGTATGTAAGTATTTTACAACATGATATCGGATATATTTTATGATTCGTGTTAAATTTTTAACATGGAAGCCATATACTCCCTCTTTTTGGAATGTCAAATTGACTAATTTTCCATATGAATTTGAACATAAATTCTTTTAAGTTTTGAAATAACATTTAGTATTTAGAAACTTTATAAAAAGTACTATAAATTACGATAGTTAATAACTTAAAATATTTAAAAACTATTTGCAAAAACAAGGTCAAAGAAAATCTTGTTTAATTCCTCAAATAATAATAGGTTGATCATTTCTTTCTTTTTGAGGAATTATTTTTGCATACTACTCCCTCCGTTTCAATTTATGTGAACTTATTTTCTTTTTGATCCGTGCCAAAAAGAATGACCCCTTTCCTTTTGGAAACAATTTACCTTTATGCAATGATTTATAGCCACACAAAATATATGTGTCTTATTTTACACCACAAGTTCAAAAGTCTTCTCTCTTTTCTTAAACTCCATGCCCAGTCAAATGAGTTTACCTACCTTAAAACGGAGGGAGTATATTACAAGTTAGTAAGTGTTCAAATTGATTTTGATTATCTTGAAATCATGCTAAGGTCAAGGCTATGCAAAGAATAAATTTGGTCTAGGGTCTACCTATTGTCTTGAAACTTGAGTGTTCATCCTCTGATCTTTGGTTATTTAATTGTTTAATTAATTGTCAATATCAAGTTCTACGATATCTACTATCAAGATTAATGATGTAAAATATCAAATTGCGTTTACCAATAGAATAAAGGTACCTGTATAATTAACAATTTCAATAAACGGCAAGCAATCCATGCTTATTCAGTGATTAGTCACTTGAATCATATGAATTTAAAGATGTTGAATAGGTCATAGAAAATGATATAAGAAATAACTACGTACAATAAAGTACAAATTACCTAATGTTGAGGGCAATCTTCTTCTTCAGTCATATTGTTCACGAGTTATCATGTTCACACACGTATCACAAGCCACTATCAATTAACTTCGGTTTGTTTTTGATGTGTCAAAGTTGATAGGATAGTAATTTGAACTTATCATTTGAGCTTCTTAATTAATGATCAAAATAGCTAATCGACCATCGGTGGTCAGTCTCAAATTAAACCTTATAATTGCTTCTTCCTTTGGTGGCCCTTTCTTCTTCCAGTATGAGATGACATTCCAAGGGGGGACATACCCATGAAACTTGGTCAAAAAATTTTACACCATCCCTCATGTTATAGGAGTACAACAAAAAATTTCATGGATGGGGTAGCAAAGATAAACCACAAAAAAAAAAAATATACAAAATTCCAAAAACCTAAGCAAAAAGATACCTTTTTCAATGGGTATGTTTTGAAAATACGTAAATGAGTCAATATATGAAATTTGAGGAAGATTAAAGATGATTTAGACTAGTTTTGAATCAAAATTTGCAGTTGAAATTGAGTTTAAAATTTCTCTACGACATATGAATCTAACATGTATCTCACATAGGAGATACACAAGAGATACATATTTGATATACAAGTGATACACAAAAGATACACGAAAATACACAGTGAGATACAAATATCATTTTCTTCTATGTTCATCTTGTGTACTTCGAATTTCACTCAAATTTCAATTCAAATCACCTATAATCTCCACCAAATTATCCAAACATTGAGATTCACACTTCTTAAGATGTACCCAATCTATTTCAAGAACATTAACTCGAACAAATTCTAATTTCGAAAATCTAAAATTTTGAATTCAAGCTTAAACAAGCTTCATTGTTGTTCATGGTGTTTTTAGTTTAATCCCTCGACTCAATCTAACAAACTAACATTTAATCGTGATTTCTAATTCGAATTAAGGTGCTCGATTCTTTGAAACTCACTTAGCTCACTGTATGCTTAAAAATTGACATTAATTGAAAATTATTTGGATTAAAATGAGATTTGGGCCATTTTTAGTAAGTATTTTGTTTGTGGGCTAGTTTTGATTGAAATTGTTTCTAGATTGACATTTTAAGTAGTTTTTCCTATAAAATATTTGTATAACATGTGGATTATCATATATAATTAATATTGTATAATTTATGTATATCGATTTTAAAAAGTAAACAGTGAATACATCCATATATTTGAAGGGACCATAGAGAGTGAGAAGCTATGTTGGTGTAGTAATGGAACACCATAAACATCGCATGTGTAACATGTTGCTTTCTATGTGCTCATGCATTAACTCATACAAAAAATTTCTCCAGTCAAATAGTCCTTTTGGATTGACAACTCTCTAATGGTGACAGGACTATTCAACTATCCTAGAGCTTTTGGTTTTTTTCCCTTTCGAATCTTTGCATCATTTCACGTGGTGTCGAATGGACATTTTATACCTTCGATAGGGAAACAAAGATAAACTGTAATGTGTTGGGATAAAACATATACTACTGTAAATAGTTTTAGTTGACATATAAGTGGCTTATGCCAATCTTACAAGTTTGGGCTGGGGTCTGCAAGTTCTTTTTAGTCAATTCACAAGGAATAACACTGTACTTGCTATTCTGTTATAACGGCAGGTATGTATAACTCGAGTTAAAAACAGTGAATAAAGCTGAACTGTGTATGAAGCATCCGCTTATGCTTGGCACCATACTGAGCTAGGATTTTGAGTTTATGGGTTCGGAGTACGAAGAAACAATTTATTATGTTCTGGTTAAATTAGAGCGAACAAAGAGAGGTATAAAGTAGCTAGGATGGAGACGAAGCTGGCGGTCACGGAGGCTAAGACTGCAGCTTTTGGTCGTCTATACGAGGAACTATGGGACCAAAGGCAGGGGAGAAGAAATTATTCTGGCTGGCCAAGACGAGAGAGAGGAAGGCTCGGGATCTGGACCAAGTGACGTGCATTAAAGACGAAGACGATAGAGTATTGATGGGAGATGCCCAGATTAAGCGGAGATGACAGACTTACTTTCATAAACTTCTGAATGAAGAAGGGGATCGGGATATTGTGCTAGGCGAGTTGGGGCATTCCGAGAGCCACCGTGGCTTTGGATACTGTAGGTACATCAAGGTTGAGCAGGTCGTGGGGGCTATGCGTAAGATGAGCAGGGGCAGAACTACCGAGCCTGACGAGATTCTGGTATAATTTTGGAGGTGTGTGGGTATAGCATGTTTGAAGTAGCTGACTGGACTGTTTAATGTTATTTTCAAGACGAAGAGGATGCCGAATGAGTGGATGTGGAGTACAGTGGTTCCGTTGTATAAGAACAAAGGCTATATCTAGAGTTGCAACAACTATAGGGGTAGCAAATTATTGAGTCATAACATGAAAGTTTGGGAGATGGTGGTAGAAGCGAGGTGAGGAAGACGGTGTCTTCATCTGACAACCAGTTCGGGTTCATGTCGAGTCGTTCCACTATGTAAGCTATCCACCTTATTAGGAGGTTGGTGGAACAGTACAAGGATAGGAAGAAAGATCTGCACATGGTGTTTATTGATCTAGAGAAAGCGTATGACAAGGTTCCTAGAGAGGTTCTTTGGAGATGCCTAGAGGCTAAAGGTGTGCCGGTTGCTTACATTAGGGCAATTAAGGAAGTGTATGATGGAGCTAAGACTCGAGTTAGGACAGTGGGAGGCGACTCTGAGCATTTCTTGGAGTCTCTTGCTCTGTTCTTTATACTGTGGTTACACCAAGGATCTGCGTGCATCCCATTCTTATTTTCCCTGATGGACTCAGTGACACACCATATTCAAGGGGAGGTGCCATGGTGTATGTTATTCGCTGATGATATTGTTCTTATTGACGAGACGTGAAGCGGCATTAATGAGAGGATGGAGGTTTGGAGACATGCCATTGAGTCTAAGGATTTCAGTTGAGCAAGACTAAGATGGAATATCTTGAGTGCAAGTTTAGTGCCGAGCCCAGGGAAGCGGGTATGGACGTGAGGCTTGGATCGCAGGTCCTTCAAAAGAGAGGTAGTTTCAAGTACATTGAGTCGGTTATCCAGGGGGTGGGGAGATCGACGAGGATGTCACACACCGTATTGGGGTGGGTGGATGAAATGGTGGTTTGCATCTGGAGTCATGTATGACAAGCAAGTTTCACCTCTAATCAAAGGTAAGTTTTATAGAGCAGTGGTTAGACCGGCCATGTTGTATGGGGTTGAGTGTTGGCCAGTTAAAAATTCACATATCCAGAAGATGAAAGTAGCAGAAATAATGATGTTGAGGTAGATGTGCAGGCACATGATGAATAAAATTAGGAATGAAGATATTCAGGAGAAGGTGGGCGTGGCTCCCATGGATGACAAGATGCGGGTAACGAGGCTCAGATGGTTCGTGCACGTACAGAGGAGAAGTGTCACGACCCAAACTGAAGGGCCATGACTAGCACCCGACCACACTTGCCGAGCACCA